CCCAGATTTCATGGGGTATGTCTACACTGCCCCGCTAGTTCGAACTAGCGGGGGTAATGTAGTCATCCGCAGTTGCAAATGAAGCCCGGGAAATTCAAATCCCGGGCTTCATTTGCAACTGTGGATGACTACATTACCCCCGCTAGTTCGAACTAGCGGGGTAGTGTAGACATACCCTAAGGGAGTTAATCCCTTCCCATCTCTTCCCCAAAGTACACCCTATCGTACTGTGCCTCTACTAAAAAGATGCCAGTATTATATGGACACATCCTTGTTTATGGATCAGAAGTTTATTCTCACAGTACAAGATTTGCAGCTACAGTTAAATAAGTAAGTTGTAACTGCAAATCTCAGTTTTGTTTTGCTCAGTACCAATTTCCAAAAAAAGCAGAAGTCAAACATTATGCAGGTCCTTTTCAGCCTCCAACTGTGCCTCTACTAAAAAGATGCCAGTATTATATGGACACATCCTTGTTTATGGATCAGAAGTTTATTCTCACAGTACAAGATTTGCAGCTACAGTTAAATAAGTAAGTTGTAACTGCAAATCTCAGTTTTGTTTTGCTCAGTACCAATTTCCAAAAAAAGCAGAAGTCAAACATTATGCAGGTCCTTTTCAGCCTCCACTCCAGTCTCTCCGGTGCTTGGAGGCAGTGGGGCAGTCATAGGTTTCACATTGTATACCACTTTGGCTTGTGTTTTAGCTCCTCGGTGGTCTTGCTTCTGTAAAGCACAGCCATTCAATCCCCAGAAGCTCAACCACCTGTTTTTCATGAGCACAAGAGATAGCAACAGATCACACAATGACTGCCCCATCTCTTTTCTTGTTGGTTTCCTTCCTGGATCCCATGGCAGTTGAACTCCAACAAGCTTCTCTGACACTGATTTTTTTTTGTTCGTTTCTTCTCTGTGATTAAGAAAAAGAAGACAGAAAAGCTTCCCATGTTTGTTTCCTCTCTTTAGAAGAAGGTAGAGAATTTTCTTAGAACCTTCTTTTCTATAGCGAGTGGAAAAAAATATAGGTTCCACAATCCATATTTACAGGACAAACCAAGTAGTGAATGAATGACACCCAACAACAAGAGGCACAGTCCTATACTAGAACATAAATGCAGTGTGTTCAAAATGAAAGCAGAGCATCCTTCTGAAGTTCACCCCATGGATTAGTGTTTGCCCATACAGCTGTGTACAAACAGTTGCTTGTATTATTTCTGGCCAGCAGTAAGCATTTTATTCCTTTATACAATGGTATTGAGAGAACAGTGACTGTGGTGGCTTCCTGTAAGAGTTTCTGCCAGTGTGCATTCACTGAGGGGCGTGTCAGGAGGTACAAGGAACATGCTGCCATCCGCAGAATCTTCCCGCTCCACTGATGAAGGGCCAACTAAGGGAGGATAAGATTCCTCTGTGAGCTGTGGTGATATATCGCTGTTTCCTAGTGAAGGTTGACTGCTCTGCATTGTCTGAGAGAGATCACCATCTGCAAGGGAGAAAGGCAAAAAGACTCAGAAAGCTCTGGTCTATGAGCGTGCATGTTGGCTGGTTATTCTATGAAGAAGTTGCATTTAAGTTTGCTTGATTGTCATGTGAGGAGTACCTCAAGCCTAACCTCAGAAAAGACCAAACAAGTAACTGGCACGCATTGCAGGGGTTAAAGCTAGCTAGTTGGTCCAGACTGACAATATTGGGTATATGCAATAACATGACAGAATGAGACTCATTAGTTAACACACATAATTTAGGCATGCAGCACTGCATGAATGTGCATTTTTTTTTTAAAAAAAGGAACTTATCCCTTAAATCACTTTAGGAATATCAATACCATTGCTCTATTACTAACCTATCATGTTATTAAAAATGAGAACATTTCAGTTCAATTTACTCTGCCATTTTTGTAGGCTATTCATTTAAGGACATTTGGAACAGGCAATAAGTTTCACATTTCTTGTTAGTTTTACTTGCAAAGTTCTCAGGCACTAGACGTGCTGTAATGTTTTGGTTAAGAAATTATAGGGAAATGTTTGAAATTATTTTTGTTTTGAAGTTTCATAAAAACTTCTGATAGATTGTTAGTTTCTGTAAAACCTAATTTTGAGGTCAGTATCTCTAAAAATATGAACCCTGAACTCCACCTTGCTCTTTCTTAATGCCAAATACAGTAAAACTCCAAGTGTCCGGCATCAAGTGGTCCGGCACTCCCGATAGTCCGGCACCAACTGGAACCCGGAAGTGCTCCAGCCCGCCGGAC